CTAAGTGATCGGTTGTCCTTTAAGTCACGATAACGCTAATCAGTTGCACACTTTTCGTATTGTATTTGTGCGCTAATCATCATCTGTGAGCGTTGAACTAAACCTGAACCGATTCTATATCTATTCGTATCAGAATTATTGCTGTCGCTGAATTTGACTGATCGATTGGTTATATCAAAGCATATCTCTATTCGCTATTATCGCGATTGATCAGTCCTTTGAAACTGACCTAGAAAATTATTCACTACAACTTGTGCTGTATTGTTTGTGCTACACAAATAGTTCACAGTGATAAAAATTGTCAGCCAATAAAAAACTGACTTCATTATTCGATATTGATACTGAATTTATTGCGAATTAGTGACCAAAGACGTTGTGGTGATTCTCAGTCAATAACATTTGATAAAAATGACAATTGAAAGAGAACGAATAGAATTGAGACGAATGTCAGATGAGACACCAAAAAACGTCAGTTTATCACAAGACGACTTCTCTTTCGAGGGTGTCAAGATGGAAGACTTGAGTGAAGCTTTTTGCAAAAGCTTTTTCGAGACGAATGATAGTATGACTGAGGATCTCGTAGAACAATTTATCATCAAACGATTCAGAAGTTATCCTCGAGAGAAGAGAACTCGGCGAAAGGCAATCACTGATATCAATAGTGAGCGTTATTGTTAACGATGATTTGGTGTTGTCCGCATATTTGTAATTAATTCATATCATTTATTTTATGTAATATTTTATCATCTGAGTAAATGAAACAAAAAATATAAATTCATTTTGATTGATGTTACAGGGAAAGGATCACCAAGCGCCAGTGGAGGCAATGGGCCGTGTCGTGTTGATAGTTCCTTATTGGTACTTACCAAAAAGTTTATGCAGCTACAACCTTCGGCGAATGAGAAAGGAGTACGTNCACTGATTTATGCGCTTGTTTTTCATTGAGTTCATTGTTCATTAACTAAAAATTGATTTCATAAGGCATCCATTTATAAACTTTTGTTTTTGTGTTCTTAAAGTAACATTGTTGTTGTTTAAGTTGTTGAATTTGAATGAGGCAGCTGAAAAGCTTGGTGTGCAGAAACGTCGTCTTTACGATATAACGAACGTACTCGAGGGTATCAACATGATCGAAAAGATGGGCAAAAACAGCATTAGATGGAAGTCAGTTCGTATATTCTTGAGCCAGATTATCTAGTGCGGACTCTCTTGAAAACTCATAATAGACCATTCATTTTTGCAGGACGAACGAAGATTTTGGTTCTCGAGGCGTTGAGGCACAAAGACTTCGTGACGAGAATCAAGAGCTGGAGAAGCATGAAGCGGAACTTGATTTTCTTCTCAACGATGTTTCAAATGCGCTCAGATTAGCGAAAGAGGACCCCACCGATAAACCATATTAGTTTGTTTCTTGTATCGTTGAACACTGTCGAAATTTGAACTCACATCTTTTCAACCCGTTTACTTTGTTCATTGAAACATCTCAATTTCTCNGCTATGAAAACATCAACCGATTGTTATAGATGATAACGAATGAAGGATAAATGTTTCAGTTACGTTAGCTACACTGATCTTCGATCATTGCCCCACATGCAACAACAAACCCTAATTGCCATCAAAGCACCAACCGACTCTTTTTCATCGATCGAAGTCACAGATCCTGTTGAAACTGGCGTTAGTTTTTCTCGTTTTTAATGTGTCTGAATTCTAATTATTTGTCGTCATACATGGAAAGATGAACAAAGATGTATTTTAAAATTATAAAGATCTATTATAAAATTTAGTGAAAATTTCGGATGTTATAGTTTCAAATCAAATTTCCGAATGCTTGCAGGACGTTTTCAATATTGTTCTTGTTTTCCAAACGTTGCATCGATATTTTTGATGTTCCGTTCTCAGTTGGTTTAGATGTGAATTTTACTAAATGTTAGTCATTGCAGAAATTTGAAATATTGGTTCGTAACGAGAACGGTGGACAGCTTCAAGCGTTTCTTTGTCCTGATGCAGATGCTTATAGAGCATCAAATTTATCTGATGATCCCATGGTTTGTTGGTTTCATTACTCCGAATTGTGTACCTTCATAAAGCGTTTCACAAACATAAGTTTCGATAAACATCATGTGGTCAAATATTTTGTGCAATGACTCGAGCGACGTGAAATTATGAAGCACCTCCGATACCGTGCTAATACTCTGTTCTACTGAAATTTTAATTCAGACAACTGATATCACACCTGGATCAAGCGCACAGCAGAATGCAGCATGGCAAGAAGCATCTCGATGCAACAGTGATCAGTTACAATTGCCTACCGGTATAGCATCATATTGACTGTTGCATTCATAAAAAAACCAAATAAAAATGGTCTTATTGAATTCTGATTGAGAACACTTTTCGGCGAAATTGTTCCACACTAGAAACGGTTTCTTTACTTGATAATATCGCACGATAAATTTGTGTTTAAGGTAGCTACGCAAAACAGTTCTCTGAGTGCATTTTTCATTTTTTTTCGTTTTATTTACACTCGATCCGTTCGATATAATCCAGTTACACTCCTTTTTACTGCAGTGTCAATTTACAAATAGTGTTCAACTGATAAACGTTTTGCCTGTTCAGGTTCAAATACAACAACCGATTCAGGAATGGACACTTTGGAAACGCCCTCGAAGGTGTGCATTCCACACTCAGCTACACTGCCTATTTGGTCAAGTGCTTCCGCATTTCCATCGCCGCTCAAAGTGGTCACGGATGGTATTCCACAGCAATGTGGTTAGTTTTCTGTTTTGTTCGCAATCTTCGTGTTTGTTGACCTTTCTATAATTTTATATTTTGATTATTTCCGACGAAGAAAATAAATGCAGAAAGCAGTTGTTGACCCATTTTTTGGAAGTTAAAGTGAATATTTACAGGAATCAGTTCAAATTCGTCTATGTCAGAAACAACGAACGCTTTGTTGAGCTTGGATCCAGTTCCAGACCAAGAACCGTACATATTTTCGTTGCAAGGTAACGAAGGGATGAATCAGCTGTACAACTGGTGACATCTGCCTAAGCCTAATTACTATCATCATTATGCGTATTTTCTATCGATTTCATTCACAACAGTTGATTATTTTTTGTTAGTTCTGCTGATCTCGTCTCCTTCGTTTTCTTTTCTGCTGACAATGCTCTGTGGTGCGTCCTTCTATAAAGTTCTTCTCTTATTTCGGCTGTGATCATAAAACATAATTTACTTGTTTTATTTTAATTGTTCCTCTTTGGAAATGTCAATTTATAATCGAATTATTAATCTGTTTCATCAATTGAGATTGTTTTTGTGTACGAGATTACTGCGAACAAAAACTGGTTCGGTTATGTGCATGTATGAGTATGTACATAAATTCATTCGAGAATCTTGACATGTGCTAACAAAAGTTGATTGGAACATGAAAATAACATTGCGTGCAAAGCTGAATCTAGACGGTCGTACGATGAACAAAGTCGTGATACAACTGATATTCGCATTTCTCAGTGACCAATTGTGTTCAGTGGTTTTTAAAATTCAAAAAGAATAACAATCTCAGTGATTGTACTCTATAAAATGATACGATATACCTATCTACCTAATAAAGTGTAATATACAGTTGAAGTGATTGCAGTAAATGTTAATAATAATAATGTAAATCTCAGGAGACGTTTTAAATGACTCGTATCTTTTATCGTTTATTGTTATGGGTTCATAATAATCAGCATTGATAGTGAATATTTATTTGCATCAGCCTTGTCCTTCTCTTTCATTTTACTTCCACTTCGCGATCGATTGAGTCGTTTTTCGTTGATTTCGTCATCATCTGTTCTCCGTTTCAACAGTCGTCTTTTCTCTTCTTCGTGCCAATCGATGTTTTATTGGGACTGATGCGATTTTTACTAAATGATAATCCACTTGAAATGTTTCGTTGAATTTTTTGAATGATCAGTTGAATTTGATTTTGATTGTGTTCAAGTGTGTAGCTTGCGGCGCANATTGTGTTCGAGTGTGTAGCTTGCGGCGCATTCTGTTTGTTACCTCAGTGGTTACAGTTTGGTAATTGATTGCGAGTTTAGTGGATGAATTCAGAGCAACTGTGCAATCAGTTCTTTAAAAAAAGTTTTGCTTTTGCTTTTGACATGTTCAGAATTTGACATCCATCTTATCTGAATATAGCAATCAAATTGAAGTGTTAAAATGCTGATTGTGTTTCTGTTCCAAGAAAGCTCGAAAAGCTCATCGTTAAAATCATCAATTCTGCACACGTTTCCGAACTTATCAACAATATTATTGTTTCAACAAATAATTTGCGTTCATCCTTTATTAATGATACTTTTATTGTGACATTTTTGTTGTATTGGATCGTTGACGTTCGTTTTGTTGCATCACAATTGTTCTCAGTTACTCAAAACGATTTCTCATGTGTTCGTCGAAGAATTTTCGTGATCACTATCTGTTATTCCCTTTGTAATTTATTGTTTTAATGCAAATTTAACTCGATTTCTTGAAATGACCACTGATGTTTGCGTATCATTCGGCAACTGTACACTTTTCTTTCCTTCCGGAAAACACTGAATAAAGTTATAATTAATATAGCAATAGGCTCTATGGTGCAGTTCGATCGTTTTCTGTTTTGAACGAATACATTCAATGAATGCTCTCCAATAGTTTCTGTCACTAAAGTAACTCGTCCAGACATTATCAAGTTCAAATTGCAGCGATGCGCTTGATGGCGTGTCATATACATATTGTTGATACGTACTCTGAATTCTTTGGGTTGATAAAATTCCATTTTTAGTTACATTAAGATGAGTGTGATAGGGCGGATTGTGCTTGTTTGAATTGTTGAGCAAATAAATGTGCAGTACAGTTTGTTCTATACATATTGTTGATACGTACTCTGAATTCTTTGGGTTGATAAAATTCCATTTTTAGTTACATTAAGATGAGTGTGATAGGGCGGATTGTGCTTGTTTGAATTGTTGAGCAAATAAATGTGCAGTACAGTTTGTTCAATAAGCTTGTTGAGAAACAACTCGTNAGTGCGTCAAGGAACTTTTCTGTTGTTGTATGAAAAAGCATTCTCAGTAGATTGTTTTGCGACATTGATGTCTGATAAGAGAATGAATGAGTTTTCGGATCATTTTTTAGATTTGCATTGCAAAAAAATGTGTTTTAGGGAAAGTTGATGAATTAATATGTTCATTAATTAACGAATTAATTCAAAGTGTTCATTTGAAGCATTGGTCAGTTCGTTTTAATATCAGTCAATGTTCGTTGGTTTGCTACAATTAAATTGCCAATTGGCCTTTTTCATTCATTCAGAACGAGATGAAATTGTTTCGAATGATATTTTTCAATTGGTTGAATTGGTGTTTTTCGTTGTGAATTCTTTCTTAGTTCATTTTGTAAGTGAAAAAAGAAAAATATTTCGTTTTTGCAAGTCAGGAAAGGATTTGTTGCTTGAAACGTTTATTTGTTGCTGTTTTTGTTTCGGTTGGTGGTTTATTTATCTGTTGATACGATCAGTTTTCTATTTCCTCATTTCCATAGGAAAATTTTTTTGTATCATATTTTATTGAGAATGATTTGAATTTTTATGTTCGTTCTTTCATAGAATGTAACCTTATAGATAACTCTTCAAATACTGCTTGTGACGTGTAACAGTTCCGACGTTCTTTCCAAATTATTGCTTGTTGTGAAACACATCGTTATACTCGAAATTTTTTTCCATAAACACTTTAATGACTGTGAGAATAACATTCGTGTGATTTTGCCATTTTCGTATAATTTCTGTGTTGAATACATCGTAGTGATTACGATTGAATATTTTTCACGACGAGAGTCTATTTTTCGTGGAGATTTAGGGAATGAAGGAGAAAAGTACATGAGGTTATTCATGTGTAACCTTAAACAACAAAGTGTGTCTGTCTACCAGGTTGTGGGAACGATGACTTTCTAATCAAAAACGAGCATTGCACTATTTTTGGGAATAATTCGTTCTTTTATTTCGTTATTATTGTCGTTTTCTTCATCGTTATGGTAATTGCAAACACGATCGTTTAGCTGAAATATCA